ACACACACACACACACACACACACACACACACACACACACACACACACAGCATGTGTGGATGGTTTTATGCCCTGTGTTGCAGGGACAGAGGGGAAGCCATAAATGAATAACCCATCCTGGCAACAAACTGTTTTTCTGTCAACACTGTTAAAGCATGCATGTGTTTGTCTGACTGACTGTTGTGTCAAACTGTATTGTTTTTTTTTTGTTTGTTTTTTTTTTCAGGGAGAAAAGTGTCATTCTGTCACCCTCCTCCACTCCTCTGGGCTGTTTAGTCAGTAAAGGTGAAATGTCAACTCAAACCGTCTCGTCGTCCCTCTCTGATCATTTTTACGTGCTTTTCCACCTCTGTGATGTGTCTGTGTATTTGTCACGGATACCAATGCATATTCGGTGACACGGGAGGACAAGCAAAAATGACAGGGTGAGTAGAAGAAGAAGAAAGGGGGAAATATAAGGAGGGATGACAGAGTGAAAAACAGGAGTGGAAACTATGGCAGACAGGGGAGTGGTTGAATTTTAAATAAGAGAGAAGAGAAAGGCAGATGTGATTAAATGATAAGGTTTCAGAGTTATATTCAGTAATTTGACAAGAACTGGGAGTCAGAAGGGGACAAAAATCCACTCTGCCTTGAAAAAGCATTAATCTCCATTGAACCTTTTCACCTTTTGTCTTTTTAAAACCATAAGACTGAATGTGCTTTTGGGATTCTTTGTGATAAACCAACACTAAGTAGTTGTAATAACTGTGGAAGAAAACTAAAACTGTAACTGTTTTACAAATAAAAACCAATTGCGACCAATAGGCTAACCCTCCTATGCTCTGAAAGTCCCTTATTTAGTAAATGAAATACAAGGTGTTCAATAACGAAGGGAGTTTCTGTGTGGAGAACTTTTATTCAATTCACTTTACATACACTACGGACCTACAATTTACAAAAACGTAATATCACTCTTTCCATCTAAAAAATGGAAAGAGTTTGGCATAACAGCGGACTCCCCAGCCAAGAGGCACATGGTGCACTGCAACTCTAACGGAGCCACAAAAATCCACAGTTTCAGGAAGTGAAATCTGAAGAAAGGATTAGTTGTCCAGAAGAAGAAGTCATGATTTTTTTGTGTGGGTGGGGGGGGGGTTTGCTCCAAAGATGTGTAGGGCACGCAACAAACATGTGATGGCGGCAGCATCATGCTGTGGGAATGTTTCATTCTATTGTCTTCAGCAGGAACAAGAAAATGATTCAGAGTTGACATGAAGATGCATAGATGTGAATACAGAGCAACAGTGCAAGAAAAAGTGCTGCAAAAGACTTAAAACAGTCGCAGAGTGTAGCCTTCCAGCAGCAGCACCAGTAGAACGGTTCATATCAAAGCATATTCACTTATTAGGAGGGGTTAGTTAAAGTTCATGCCTTAATCGTACAAAAAAATTACAAAAACTTAAAATGACTTAGCAATTAGAGCAGCCAAAATCTTGGTTTGTTCATAAAACAACACAACGGTGACCCATATACAGAGCTTCTATAATCCCTGTCTGTATCTTCATTCAAGAAAATATTATGTTGCAAAACTGTTTTTAAGACCTTGTCATCCAGATCACCGTGTTAGCACATAATGAAATACATCTGCCCACACTGATAGATTTAAAAACTACTTGTGTTTTGAAAAAAAAAAAAAAAAAAACCTCAAAAAACCAGTCGTCTGTAAAATTAGGTTATTATGATAAAAGCCAGACGTTAACTGCACAGGAGCTGCAAACACGGACATCAAGGTCGGCAGTGCCTGAGAGTCAGCGTTCATGTTGAATTAATCACTGCTGACGATGTCTGTATTTTCCTCTTCAAAAGGGTCAGCAGATAAGGTTCATTAGAATCAGGTCAAAACATGAAGTGTGTGATAAAACCCAATGAGAACACGTCTGTGTGTCCTTGGGGAAATCTTTCCATGTTTTCACATGAACTCATCGGAACTGATGGGTGATGGAAAACATCAGGAAAAGTATTTTAAACCACAAAATGCATTTGTACCCCTCTCGATAATATGTCCCTTCTAAAACGTATTTGCTATCTTTATCTAACAACACCCAGTTTAATTTAGCCAGGGCACACACTGAGCTTGTGTACAATATTTTCCAAAGCACACTCGCACGCATGGTTACACTCAAGCACGCCATTGTTATTCCGATATTACTTCCTGGTGCATGTCAGGGAGGCTCTGTTGTAAGACCCTGGTGTCTCCCCCTCACGCCAGCAGCTTCATGACCTCATGCCTAGCATGCCTCTGTCTGCATGCATGCCTGTGTGAGTGTCTGGAAGCTCCAGGATCGCCAGCTGTATTATCAGCATACCAAAGGAAAGCCTGACCCGCAGGAGAGAGGAGACAAAGAGGAGCTTTGACCTGCCTCTTTTACACGTTCATTCCACATGCATGTGTATTTACACAGACATAAGGAGGACATGGGAGTGTGTGTTGGTGTGTGTGTGTGTGTGTGTGTGTGTGCGTGTGTGTGTGTGTGTGAGACAATGGGACAAAGGACAAAAACATGATTCACTATGGATATGAGTTGGCAAAGGTGACTTGAAGGGTTTTCACATTTCATTAGAGCTCCTGCTGGAAGCACGCATACATCTCACACACTTGCCTGCCACGTCCATTCTTCATTTAGCATCTGATTCAGTAACGTGTTTGCTCCCGCACGCTCACATACAGGCACGCACATGAGAAGAGTGCCGAGACCTTTAGCTCCTGTCTCTGCTGGAAGCTCACAAAGACGCTACACACAAAAACGGACATTACAGGTGACACAGATTCACACACACACACACACACCGTGTAATCAAAGTGGAATGTCGCTGACAAACTGTATTTGTGTACTCATATTTTACTTTACATGTTCAAAAAAGTGTGCTTTGTTCAGCTCAGACAATATTAGAGCTAAGCTAATTTGCTAGCTTGGCTCGTGGTCAGGATACTGCAAGTTACAAAATCAGGTTTTTATGGCCTTTAAAACATCTGCTTCATAACCCCAAATATTTAAATGCATATTATTGGATTTTACTCATCAGTACATTTCCATCAGGTATTTGCTCTGTAGTCACAATTGGCATGTTCCATCTTTGCAATTTTAGTTTCACATTACACATTTACTCTAAATAATCCTAGATTTCATTTTGTCTAACCATCTAAAAGAGAAATAAAGAAGCATTTGCGTGATGAAATTGAACTCCCTAGTGACTTTTAAATTCAAAGTAACACAAAGAAACAGGAAACAAATAAAAAGGAAACTGGGGTCTTAAGTACTAAGCAGCAAGTGAACACAACAAGAAACGCAGCTAATTTAAAACCAGAGAAACGTGACAAATCAAGTGCTAACGATTTCAGAGAAATTTAAGAGAACAACCATAAAACTATGAAACCAGATGACAATCAATCCCACTTCTACATAAAATCTTGAGAAGTGGTTAAAAGGAACAAAATAAGAAAAACTGATATCATCCACTGAGTTTATATCAGAAAGTTATAAAACACGGTTAGATCAAGAGAGCTGAAATGGACGGTATGACTCAGTAGCATGGTGTGCAGCAGCATAGCTTTGAACCTGGATCCTAATATGTAACACAGTCGGTCCAGGAGGAATCCTTGTTATCTCACACATGTGCTGCAGCCACATGTCCAATCATTTATGCTCTGGTGTGCCGTGCACAAACACATTAGAGATATTCTCTGCAACATGTCTGTTCGTGTCAAAGATGTTTATTGCATGCCTTTTCCTTTCATTAAGGGCTTAATAAAAATAAAACTCTCTGCTCAACTCCACTTCTCTATTTTTACTACATGGATTCCACCTTAGTGTGACCTTTCTAAACATGGTCCTCATCATTACCCATTTCAAGACAAATGTTTTCAGTGAGAAGAAAAGGTCAGGATCTGTTTTTTTTTTTTTTTTTTAATATCTTTTCCAGGAGCTGACCTCCAGTTTCAAAGAGCTTGACTTGAAGCCAGGAAGTGTCACACACCACGTCTGTAAAGTTGGATTGAACTTAGAGTTTCCACACTTCAGCCACGTTTTCATTGCGAAGTACGTTTGTCTTTTACAGATCAATAAAACAGTGTGACAGCATGAGCCGAGCTCTGTTTATACATGTATTATCTTTGAAACTGTGCAAAGCTTGTGAATAGTGACATCATTAGAGTGGAATTCAAGTCTATTAAAATAAATGAGGCTTTGTTCTTGATCTTGAGCTCTCCGACTACTAGGCTGCAGAGCGCTTATTCCACGGCAGACCAGGACAGAAGCCACTATGAGTGGGAGGTAACGTGTTTTGGATGCTGCTTATCTTAGCTGCTTCCACAACACCAGATCATCTGTCAAGATTTCTTGGCAGCCTTGCCTTGAAAAAAAAAAAAAAAATTAAAAATACATTTGAATCAGGCGTTCCTAACATCCGCACAGAAGCCTGCAGACGATTAACTAAATATTTCTGAAGCATATCAGAAAAAGGACCTTGTTCTCAGTTGCTTTAGTTCAGTTGGTCTTTATAGAGAAAAGTTCATCCTGATTTCATCTCGTCTCAACAGTAAAATGTTCAGTGCTTGTCCCGACATCAACTCAGTTTGGACCGAATGTGCAAGAGTTGTGCTAGCAAAGGCAACCATTTTTTTTTGTTTGTTTTGGTAAAAAAAATAAATAAAATAATAATAATAATAATAATAATAATAATAATAATTGTCAAAAGAGCTGGATTGATGTCTAGTTTGATGTCTACTGGCAGATATTTACTTTGTTTATTTTAATGTATAATTTGTCTCTTTTTATTTTATCAAGAGTCAGGTGTCAACCCTTCCAATCCCAGAGAAAAATCTGCAGTCTTTGTTTAGCCCCATTTGACATAAAATGAATGCAGTAAAATTATTCCCCACATCTGAACCTGTAAACACCCTCAAAGCAAGAATGCGTGAATGCCATGTGTGTGTTTGGTGAAAGCGGTGATGGTGGCGGCGATGGGGAGGGGCGTGGATTCCTGCTACTCTGTTTGCGCTATGCCCAACACTTCCAGCATCTTTTGCTTGTAGTCCTCCTCTGCTCTTTTCACATGGAATTGATGAAAAAGGCAGCCACATTAAGCGCATCGCTTTTGGCGGTCACGGAGGCACAAATACATGCGGTTGGGCGCACACTGCGCTCTAAAATGCGCTGCAGTGACCTTTCAGATGCAGATGGAGCAGCAGATTCCCTCCACTGAGAAAATGTCAACATCTTCTGCACTCACTGCTTTTTAGAACAACCAAGTTGGCAGCAGGTTAGCCTTCGTGTCTTTCCACATGGGCTCACCATAAATGCACACACTGTTCTGGGCTAAGTGTTCAAATTTTTTTATTTATTTATTTATTTTTTTTATTTGGGACAATAAATTCCTATGTCATTTAGTCAAAAACAAACAGTGTTGTAAAGAGACAACCGCTGGGACACAACTCACTCCCAATGTGTGTGTGTGTGTCCGCACATCAGAGCACAGCAGAGCGCTCTTATCTGCATGTTTCTGTGTGGTTACACTGTAAAATCTGGGCCATAATAAGAGTGAAGGAATGGAAGCATGTGAGCATTTGCTTTGGGACTGAGGTCTGTCTGAAAGGGCCACCATAACGCTACCAGCTCTGGAAGGAAAAATCATCCCAGTCTGGATAGCTTCGAGTTGTCACGCTTGGGCCTGGCTGATCTGATAAATAACTGTCTGTCTTACTCCAGCGCTGCACTTCAACACCTACTATATGACTCACAATTTGTGACTCCTCTTTATCGGTTTATAAACAGAGCGAGCCATAAATCCAATCACCCCGAGAAAAATTCAAACTTTGATGTTTCAGATGCATAATTGCGTCTGCCTCTGGTGATCTGTGGATTCCAAGAATTTTCCAGAAATTTGCTTCTGTAATAAAAGATGAAAGCAGATCCAGAAATGATTTTCAGACAAGCAGTGGCCGGATGGAAACAAACACAGCCGACAGACGGTTAGTGACGATTTCATGACTATTTGTAGAAAACTAATTTTTTATTCTTTTAATCAAGAACTTCTTGAAGATGTTATAAATGACATACGAGATTGCATTTTCGTTTTGTTGTTTGTGTCAGTGCATTTTTATGAACTAAAAAAATCTTTACATCAAAAAAAGTAATTCTCATTAATAAAAAAAAAAGAGAGAAAACAAATTGGTGAACCCAACAAACTTTCCACGCTCCTTTTGACTCAGTCACACAGTCACATGAAGGTTAACATGCAAGCGCACAACCCCAAGGCTTAGGAAACTATTTATGGTAAAAGTGGGCAGAAAGTGTAAACACATGTCTGGCATCCTTTGAAAAGACAAATGTTTTACTCCATTTTATCCTCCTCTCTACACTAAAGAAGAATCTGCTCACCTCCCCGTTCCGTACCAACTTCCACCACAACACATTTCACTCTGGGCTTTGGAGCTAAACGGGAGAGAGTAAAATAGAAGAAGCATCAAATGGAGCTGGATGTCCGTGAGAGGGGAGGCATATGGGTGGGTGTGCTTGGCTGCCGGCCACATTTGAAGGAGTGGGTGAATGTTTTTTTCTAGGCCCTAATGAAGAATCAAAGCTATGTCACACCAGGAAGTGACAGATTGAAGTCGCTACTAGCAGTAATATGTACATAAGTAAAGTGAACTTTTAGTTAGATCGTGAACGATCTGACTAACCACAGAGTTTATCGAGTGGTTGTCAATATCTTTATAGAGTGTCTCACATTTTTCTATTTTTTGCATTAATGAAAACAACGACTGAATGGGGGTTTGAACCAGCAACCCACCAGTTACAGGATGACCTCCTACCACCAAGGAGGTGGATTTACAATAAACCTCCTGAACTGTATACTTTTTAAATTGACCTTTCGCTGCAAGTTTTTTTATGTTTTGCACATCTTGACTGATTTTTTTTTTTTTTATACCAATTACTCTTTGCAAAATACCCCTCTTAAATAATTTCTTTTACTACAATTGGAGGCTTTTAAGGGAAACTGGTTGGACTGGCTTATTCACTGGTATCAAAGTAAAGGGGGCAGAACACAGATCTATCCCAGACTTTTATAATTTTTATTTGAAAAACTTTGAAAACCACACTTAATTTTTTTTTTACCATGTCAGTATTATTTCTCATTATTCTTTCTAATAAAACCTCTGTAAAATATTCTGATGTTGGTTTTGAACCTAGCACAAGTGTGAAAAAGTTCAAAGGATATAAATCCTTGTGCGTGGTTCTATAAACTTGGGTGACGTGTTTTACACACATTAATAATAAACAGATATATTTATATATTTATTAAGGGGAAACGTAATAACCAAAGCTTCTGAGAAATGGAGAAAAATTTTGAAATTACTCTCCAAAGCCTCCAACTTGGGACCTTTAATGACATATGTTTGTGATAAAAGATTCAAAAGCCTTTCTTTCTCTTTTACCCCGCAGAAGCCAGAGGATGTCGCCTGACCACATGCCAGCTCATAAATGCTGTTTACCATTTGTTAGATGGTACATGCAGGGAACTGCCGTGGAACCCAAAGCTTTGGAAAAGTAATTAGCTTTTATATTAAAGAGCAAAACTATTTCATATTTAAACCCATTGGTCATACGCAATAAATTTTAATGTTTATTTCTGTTCTCTATATTTATCCGACTGGATTGTTGCTTTTCTGTTTATGCTTGTTCTGAATAGCTGCGAATAACGTGACCAAAATAACATGGATTAGTTATGTAAAATTTTTATTTTAAAGATTTTAATACTCTTATACTTTTTTTAATACTTTCTTACATGACCTTTCAGTAGTCTGTTGGGACAAAATTGTATGTATTTCAACTGTAGATGAAGTGTGGACTCTTTCTGATATCCTGATATTTCTCTTATTAATAAGCATATCTTAGTAAAATGCATAAATGTATAAAAATCAAATCAGCCCCTTCTTGTCCCAAGACCTGGTATTTTACTGCTGCAGCAACAATAATGTTGCCTGCTGCAAAGACAGAAGATCTGGAATAGAAAGTGACAAAATTTCATTTTTGAAAATAGCAAAGCAGTTGGAAAATAAATGATCAAGCGCACCATTATCTAACACATCAGATAATATTGTTGCATTTCACAAAGTCAGGACATTCTGACATGTTCACGAGCTTAGATACCAATGCTGGACTCATCTGATTTACCTGTTGCATCTCAAAGACTTGCACCAAAAGCTTTTAGTGCAAAAGAAGTTAAAGTTGAATGTCTCTCGTTAGATCTTAAAAAAAAAAAAAGCTGGGACAGATGGTTTTGCTCATTTCTTTTCTGAACTGCAGCTTCCATCCAGTCTGTCCATACTGGTGAAATACCAGCTGACCGGAAATCTGGTACAGCTCCTCTTCAAAACTGGTGGTCATTCTGTTTTGAACAGTTGCAGGCCGGTTTATATTTTACCTTGTGAACTTTAAGTTGTGCAGAGACTTGTTAATAAACAGTCAATCTGGTATCTTGAGGTCAACAGCTTGTTATCTCCGGCCCAGTCTGGTTTCTGTTCTGGTCGTGGATGTGTCACAACAGTTTGAAAGGTTGCAGATGATACAGCCTCTGCTCTGGACTCCAGACAGTAATGTGCTGCAATTTTCATACAGTGAGTCATTCTGTTTTAATCAAACGACTTAGCCACATTGGAATTCCCCATCCATTTGTATTATGGTTTTCTAGCTACCTGTGTGACGGAGGAGCCAGTGAATACACACTCTGGATATTGTGTTTCTTTGTGTTTCCAAAGGTGTGGTCCATTCTTGGATCCACTCCGCTCTCTACTTAAATTAATAATATTCCACAAGCTGTTAGTAAAGGTGCTGTACATTTATACCATTTTGTATGCGTTTAGTTCATCCCCTGAATCAATCTTTCAGCGTCTAAAACAAAACTTCTTGGATGAATTATCCCTGAATGCTAAGAAAACAAAAAATCATACGGTTTAAATGTAAAAGACTACAAATTTTCCCCCCAACCCCCAAAATCTTGTTGTCGCTGCAGATGAAACAATCTGTCAGCAGGTTGCAGAGAGGTCCGGCCAAAGTTCAGACCCAAATCCCATTGAGAATCTCCTTTAATGTTGATATCCACAAACACTCTCCATCTAAACTGAGAGAGCTTGTTATTTGTGTGCAATATTTCCCTCTATAGTGTAGATGTGCAATGCTGGCAGAGACACAAAGCCAAGCTACAACTGTCTGATTTATATATTTATATAGCTTAACATTTTGCAGAAGCGATAAGTCATTTCCTTTTCTCTTATGTATTAAGTACCACTGTATATGTAATTATACAATCCATGTTAGCTTTAGGTATTCAGAGAATAAATCCGACGGGTAATATGTCACAAATTCACAAATCATAAAAATGTCATCAGGGTGCCTGGTCTGCAAAAAACAGACTTGACTGTGTCTTCTCCTTGTTTCCTGCAGTTTGGTTTAGGCAGTACAGTATGTTTTTTGCCCTTTGGTGATTATGTCTGTGGTGTCACCAAAGCCAAAGCAATCAGGCTGACAAACACGAGGAAAAAGGGATCACCACTCTCGCCAGGCAGAATGTTGGCACCGTTATTGGCATATCCCTCATCCCCCTGCCCCACCCCAGCCCTCCTTCCTGCACCCCTGAAGTGAACAGATAATCCCTAAGCCCTATCCCCATTTAAAGACAGGCACATCACGCAAACCTGCCCTCCCTGCAATGCACTCTGCCACTCACACAAATGCACTCACTCAGTCGCACATGCATGCAGCTTGCTCTCATGGAAGCAAGAGGAAAATAGCTCAGCGGGGGGTTAAACAGTGTGTCAGCCACAGCAGCAGAACACATTTCTGCCTGTTTCTTTACTGTCTTCCTTCCACAGTACTGAAACATCCCCGGTGGCAGGCATGTGACAGACTTTGACGATGAGATAAGGAGTGGAAGGGACTTTTGAGGAGGCTCAGATTTAACAGGTTAGCTTTTATGACGCCACTCAGACACACACCGTGGAATGTGACGCGTTTGTCAGAAGAGAATGTGTTGAAGAGAACTTTGAAATAGTGCACCAGATATGTGTGACCTCTGCTGAGATCTGCTGGGTTAAGATAAAACACACTTTATTTACCAAAGACTTTACTTGTTATCATTTTATTGGAGGTGGTGCAGTTTACTTATCCGTTTGTATCTCCCAAAAGGTCATACCAACTTTCTGATATAGATCTGATAGTTGAGTCTGTAATGAATAAATCAATGCAGCCATTGGGATCGTAGTGTTCTTCTGATTTGCAGGATCTGAAAACACAGCTTGTATTTCTAGTTAGCCTGAACTTTCTGATGTGTCACGGTCAAACTGTCGACACATTGCAGGAATGTAGTCCAAGTATGAGTAGAAGTTGACCTCTAGTGGTCAAAGTGTGAACCTTACAAGGTAAAAATCACTGTGACTGTGCCTCTTTCAGCCAGTAAAGACCACCACCAGCAGACAAAGACATCACCATCTTGAATGGGCCAGGGTCCTTGTGGTGGACAAGGAACCAGCAGGGCTCTTTGTTGGTTACCGTCAAAAATAGGTTGACTCTGAACAGAGAGCATGGCTGCCATTGCAATTAGCCTACATTGTCTCTAGCATGTGAAGATAAAGCTGGGGTTCAACTATTGTTGCACCACCCATTTACAAAACTGATATTCCCACATTTTTTAACCTGTTTGCTTTCTATGAGGCTATTTGTTTGCATGTAAGAATGCTGATGACGTCCTGAAAAGAGTTTATGCTAAGCATTTAGAGTTTTATGAATAAGGCGGATCTTAAATAGAAAAGTATGTAACCTCAGGTTTGAAGAATCCTCATGCATCAAACAAACAAGAGCACAACAAAAACAGATAGTAAATTTTGTGGTGGTTTTCAATCTTACCTTCAGCAAACCACAGCACTAAGTACAACAATGCCTTTATCTTCCAGCAGGGGGCAGCACTCAGCAACTGCTCCTTGTTTCACAGAGGAAGTGAGTCAATGTAGTTCCAGGTTTGTGCTGACGCGTCCCTCGTCCTCTCATTCACCGACGTGTCAGTCCTCTTCAGTCTGCTTCTGAGTAGCTTCCATACCGGCCTCTCTGCCAGAAAAATGCCCCCGAAAGGCAGCAACAAGCAGCAGTCCGAAGAGGACCTTCTCTTGCAGGACTTCAGCAGAAATCTGTCGGCAAAGTCAACGGCTTTGTTTTACGGGAATGCCCTCATCGTCTCAGCCATTCCTATCTGTGAGTACAAGAAAAGAAAAAAAAAAAAAAGCCGCTGCTAACTGCTAAAGCTAACGCTGAAGGAGTGGAAAAGTATAAACAAAAACAAAAAAATGAGGAGCGTTTGAGAAAGTAACGCCGCGTAATGGATTAATGATTTAAATAAACAGTAATGATACAAATGGCTAAAGTTGTGCTACGGTTGATGAGAACTCCGTTTCCCATCAAGAACATTGTGTTCACGCACCTTGAAGTTTTCCAAATATCTTACTACCACACACTTTTTAGTATTTTTTTTGGGGGGGGGCTGTTGTGATAAACCATCACAAAGTTGTGCACAGTTGTGAAGTGGAGCTGTAAAGATAACAATTAGTGCTGACTTTATGAGAGTAGCAAAGGGAGAGTCACTTTTATAAGTCATTTGCAGTTTATTTGATGTCATGTCAGAGACCCAGCAAACACGTGGAAGAGGGTAGTCTGCAAAACATTGTGTGGCTAAAAACTAACTAAAAATATCCTCCTGAACACATCATCACCATGGTGAAACATGGTGGCAGCATCAGGGAATCTGCTCAAATCTGACTGGATGATGTGTGGAGATAAATAAAGGACTGAACCATCCGACACCATAAACAGACTTGAGGCTGGGGATGAGGTTCCCCCATCCAGCAGCACAACGACCCAAAACATATCACCAGATCTACAATTACAGGGTTTAGATGAAAGCATATTCATATACTAGATTGACTCAAAAACAGGATCTGAATCCACCAGAGAATCTGTTTTAAAGCTTAAACTGAAGTTCAGATGCTCTCCATCCAGCCTGAGTTGTTTTAAAAAGAACTGGTATGTTTTTACATCTGTATTTGCAGCAGGTAGACATACCCGAAAAGACTTGGAAATAGTAATTGCAGGGTTTTTCCCAGTATATTATAAGCCTGGCGGGCCACCAGGCTTTACTTGTGCCCCCACCAGGCTTAGCATTGTTTAGTCTTTTTTAAAATGTTTGCATTTTTTAAGACTTTATAGTTGGTGTTAGCTACATGTACATTAACAAGCACATTGAAGTTTAAGGTTGTGATGAAGCTTTTTCAAGATATGCTCCCGTTTAAGTCTTTATCACGCAAAGGCTAAAAATACAATAAATACAATACAATAAAATTGTATTTCTGATTTTTGTTTTCTTTGTATGTGTCCTCGCAGGGTTGTTCTGGAGGATCTGGCACATGGACCTGGTCCAGTCTGCGGTACTGTACGCTGTCATGACCCTGGTCAGCACATACCTGGTTGCGTTCGCCTACAAGAACGTCAAGTTTGTTCTGAAACACAAGTAAGAGTAATGAAAAGAGCAGCTCAGTCGATCATAGTGACAAAATAGGAAAATGTTGGCGGAAAGTTGTATGCAAATTTGCACAATTTCTCGATTTTTGTTTGGCAAGTTAATTCTTTGAAATAGAGATTTAATGAATTCACTGTTTTCTTTGTTTTTGTTTCAGAGTGGCTCAGAAACGAGAGGACGCCGTTTCCAAAGAGGTCACCAGGAAGCTGTCTGAAGCAGACAATCGCAAGATGTCTCGCAAAGAGAAGGATGAAAGGTGAGACTTTTTTCCCCTCCTTTTGTTTTAAAAGTTGATAAATTAAGCCAAACTGAATATTGTATTTGTCTTTTTGAAAAGGAAATAAACCCAAAGCTTCACTGCACTTTATCTGAACATCGTCAGTGAGAAAGAGATCGACTCAGTTTTTCCTTTTCTCCAGGATCCTGTGGAAGAAGAACGAGGTGGCCGACTATGAAGCCACCACCTTCTCCATCTTTTACAACAACACCCTCTTCCTGGTGCTCGTCATCGTCGCTTCCTTCTTCTTGCTCAAGAACTTCAACCCCACTGTGTATCCTTTCAGGCAAATTACTTTTCAGTGTTGACTATATGGGAGATTTGTGGTCAGAGTTTAAATACATTGCACATCTTATTAGAAATTTCTTTTTGAACCACTTCCTTGATCCGAAATTTCATTTATCCATTCTCGATATCTACTTGGCTCAAGCTCGAGATCTTCTTTAATTTGCCTTCCCCCATTTGTAGAGAGAGGGACATTGTCGATATGAAAATGAGTTGTTTTGTAGAGGTGCATTTTTTCTCCTTGACCTTTTGCTCCCTAGCAACTACATTCTGTCCATCAGTGCCTCTTCAGGACTCATTGCTCTTCTGTCCACCGGCTCCAAGTAAACCAAGAAGAAGAAAAATGGACAAGGAGTTGGAGGGATTATTTGATGGGTGGGACTGGGTGAGGATGGAGGATTAAGAAAAAGACACAGGATCTAATTTTTTACAGGTTAGGCATGTGGTTTTGGTGTGGATGCAGAGTTCACTTTCATGAAATCGTTTTTGTAACAAATAAAGCAACCAGCTATACTTGCTTGTGTGTTTCATTCACACCCCTTTAAATATTTTTTAAATATGTGCAATATTCAGAGCATTGATTTAAAAACATATTTCAGAAACAGACTTCTGAACATGCCCTTAAATCTATTTCAAACGCAGGGGTCAACTCTGTTCCTCGAGGGCTGATGTCCCAACTTGATGGGTTTTTTTTCTGCTTCAAGATACCTGAATCCAAAAGTTCGGGTGTCGACAGGTAGAAGTGTCAAACAAAAACACATGGTGTATTAACACGAGCCTGTAAGAGCAGCTGTCAGGCACAGCGTGGGGGCAGAAGGGCTGCTGCCGGAGCACCGTGGCACTTTGTAGTCATTTGCCACTTTCAAACCATGTTCTGCAATAAACAGAGTAAAAGGAGAGACACTGAATGACCATAAACTCCCTGCACACCAAACTTCTCCAGAGTCAACAGATGAAGCTGTGCAGGACAATGATGGCAAAGCCAGAATGGCTGCAAACTATAGGAAGTGAGGTTAATCCAGTCACGGCCCTCGATAATTAGGGAGAATAACTCTTTAAAATTATCTGACTGAAGTTGTTTCTACAAGATTTTAAATGATTTCTTCCCATAACTGAATCAAAAGCGGATTTTTCCACATGGCTGTGTTTTACCTTATTTAGCATAAAATCAAAGACACTGTTTTCATTGGCAATGCATGTATTTATTATCACACATTCATATAGAGTATTTACAGAGAGAGCACTCGTCAGCAAAGAGACGGTACACTGTTGCTTAGAACGGCACATGGGGAAAAACAATGACTGGAACAATATTGGGGGATTTCTGTATCGTATTTTATTAAATTAGAATTAGATTACTGACCAATTACTTTGTGTTCTTTGTTGTTGCATAGCTGCTAATGAATTAAATATTTTTGCTCTTGCAGCCAGTGAGTCTGCCCATATCAGCTCTTTTAAATGGCTTTACTGCTTTGAAATCCAGGCTGCTGGAAAACTAGATGGTTTTCACTTTTTGGCGGATAAAAAAAACACTAAAATGTTCAAATATGTGATTCAAAGATATTTTCCCCTAAGCCAGTCATAAAACTATTTGCACCAATTACATTGCATTTCATATTATGCAACTTTACTCTTTTTTATTGTTCTAGTATTTCCCCTGTACCATGTATATTCCATTTAACTGTGCACTCGCCTTCACGTCTACGCCTCCAACAATACGGAGCTCAGGGACAAGAAGCAAATCTATTTAAACTGGAATAAAAATTCAGGCTACAATTTTCTGCTATGTTAACGGACAAAATACAAGCTAAGGTTTGCGGCTAATCTTTACTTTCAGAGGGTTTCTGCCTTAGAACTGCAGTTTTGATTCTGAGTATTCTTTGTTGAAATAACAAACCTCATTTAAGTATACTGCTCAAAAAAATAAAGGGAACATTTCACTTTAATTTTGTGTGTGGCTCCAAATCCAGGCCTCCATTGGTTAATAAATTTGATTTCCATTGATGATTTTTGTGTGATTTTGTTGTCAGCACATTCAACTTTGTACAGAACAAAGTATTCAATGAGAATATTTCATTCATTCAGATCTAGGATGTGTTATTTGAGTTTTCCCTTTATTTTTTTGAGCAGTATATATAGACATTATACTGAATGCTAAGTAATTTTCCAACATGTTTTAGATGAACACCAATGCACCACGCACCAACTTTATAATGAAAGACATCCCTGAATGTATTTCTTAGGACCCGGGTGAAGGCACTCTACCAGACAGCCGCAGCCTAACGGACTGATGAGCAAAGTGACGACGTGAGCACAGACACTTAAAACCACCCAGAATTTATTTCTCACTTAATTCCAGTGATGGAGACTTTTTTTTGTAGTGTAGATTAAGAGATCTTGAAACTTTCTGAAGGTCTTTTTGTTGGATGTTTTCACACATTTGGTCTGACTATGAATAAATGAATTTTATTGCGTCATTTAAAAAAAAAAGAAGGGAAATGGAAAGGTGGAGATAAAAGTAAGAGATGAAAACAATTAAATGCGTCACCCTTTAGCTGATCGTCGACTGTCTTAGAAGTATTACTGCCTTTTTAAGAGTTACCTTGTTGGGAGCTGAAAGAGATACTTTTTATTTGTTCAAATACTTTTTCAGTGGTATTTTTGTAAAAAAAAAAACAACAAAAAAAAACAGAAACCAGCAAAATACCTAAAGATTCAGTTTGTCCAATTTGATCAAATGTGTTGACAAAACCAGTTCTTAACTTTAACTTAGGAGTTTTTTGTTTGTTTGTTTTTTTAATATATCAATACCTGAAAGTGGATTAGAATTCAGTTTCAGGTTTTGAGCCGACAATGTGTAGAAAAGCAACTAAAGTAAAAAAAAAAAAAAAACTTTGTAAATGAAGGCATTCGGAAAAATGAATCAAATATTGATCAAGACCAGTGCAAAGATTACCAGAAAGTCTGTATCCTTGGATTAATATGTAGAGAAAAGAGGTTTGCCTCCAATCATTTAAACACCAGCCTGGTATGAGGAGAGCTTAAGTTTCATGATGACCGCTTGTGCTTTTCACAAATTTCAAAACAGCTACATTTGTCTGTCTTGTAAATTAGAGAAAAGCACAGGATCCTTTATTTAGACAGCTGATCACCAACGAGTTGGGGAGGGGCAGCACCAGGTTGATTCCTGTCACGCCATCATTTTCTCTGGGATCCCATCCAAAAGACATTAAACCACAGGATCAATGTGACAATTTTTTTTTTTACAGGTTTTACAATTTTTGAGCCTTTTTGAAACCTCTCTATAGTTTAAAAATGATAACTGCTACAAAACAAAACAAAAAAAATGCACTATATATTTTCAGCAAATTCCCAGTTCTTTTCTTCCTAAAGCAGTTTCGTTTCGAAACGTTTGCGAGGTCCAGGGTTCATAATCCTTCTGAGGCAGACGTCTCAAAGTAAGCCGTAAGACAAAAGCTGCTCTTCATTTCTCCTCAGAGCGTGGAACCGTCTGGCAAGCACAAAAACAGTTCGCTACTGAGATTTAGAGGCCGACTGTGCCGCAAGTCAACACATGGACACCAAGAACAAAGACCGTGACTCGGCTGAAACCTGGCCAACATCTCTCTCTCTCTCTCTCTGCTCATCTCAACGATGGCTTATTTTCCAGATGAAACAGAACTAAGGGAGTACATAAAATGGCAACTGCCACAAACTACCGAAAAGTCAGAATATAAAAGATTAACCACAGGAGTTTGGTGTTTATCATCAAACCTAAGTAAAAGCTTGATTCAGGTCAGTTCATAGTTTACTTCACAAATGGGGAACGATCCGAACTACATTTGGACTTCCTTGAGGAGAGAAAAGTGAAGACTTTGCGGCTGTCGAATCACTCTGAGCGAGGACGATGAAATCTCAGTGATGTGCAGTGAGCAATAAAATATCTCTATTTACATCTCATTTATAGATTTCTCATACAGTACAGGAAAGCCCTCATATGCAAGACAGGCTTCTTGTAGTTTGCCTATGTAACAAGATTAGCCTTAAACCTCTATATATACATGTAACATCCTCAAACAAGCTATTTTTTTCTCAAATGTCAAAATAGATTTTTAGATTCTATGAGCAGTTTAGAACAATTATTTCCCACACATGACAAACTTATTCCATCATGTTGTGGTTTAGACCAGTGTTTTCCCCCTCAAATATCTTAAATAGTTTCCATTAATACAGTCAAAGCTCTTTGAAGAAATCAGTGATGCTGCTTCAGTTCACAAGTAAATACTTTTTTTCTTCTTCTGTGACTTTAAGCTGAGCAATCCGCATGTTTTACTCGTCTCCGTTTTGTGGAAGATGTATGCAGTTCCTTAAAATCTTCACACGAGGGCGCCATACTTCACGTTTACCCTTTTCTACTCAAGTCCAGTTCTTTTTTTTTTTTTTGTTCGTTTTCTTTCTGGTACCACAATCCTCTTGCTTCATCAAAGTCACACAGCAGACAAGCTTGCAGCATTTCTGATCAAAAACTTATCAAAAAGAAGAAGGAGGCACACTGTAGCAGAGAAACATGCATCTGGTTGTTGCTATACTCAGGGATCTGCAGCCAGAAGTATCTACTCGTTAGCCTACTGTAAATATAGGGATCGGTTGCGTTTAGAAGGCATTTTAAAGACGAGTCGAGCCGATGAGTGTCGAGGTCCTATCTATATTCATAAAGCTCGTTTTTGCAGGAAGTGTGAGGGAGTCACCTTGTTGTTTGTAAAGACTGGAAGATGTTTCATCCCAGACTTTAGTAGGCACCTCTGACAAAGGAGGTGAGAGTTTGAAGCGCTTATGGTAATTTATTTTGCTACGCTGCTCAGCATATTAATAAAAGGTCTGAATAAGGGATTTGTTCAGCATGCATCTGAGGTCTCTACTCATTTGAGGTTTGTCTAATTTCTATACATAAGGTGCCTCTACTGGAGTACTCTGCTGCGAAACAATATGAATTTTGTGCTTAAATGAGTTGTTATTACAAGCCTTATATGTTTTCTGATGAGTTATCAAGGTGCACTTAAAAAAGGCACTTTAATTTTAAATAGCTCTGCAATGCCTCTTTGTCTTCATGAAACAGCTGGAGTTAATGACAAGTCTAGTATCTCTAAAAATGAGATGTAGCAGTGAACATGTTAAAGTCTCAACATAAATGTGTATCAGAACTTTAACCTTTTCTAACAGTGGGTCTAGTGTTTCAATAATTTAAGCATGCGGTTGGATCTGAGCTACTCTGATCTCTGCATAGTTCTATTTCTGTATCTTTGCACGCTAGCCGAGTAGCAAATGCCTCTGATTGGTGGCGGAAAGTTTTGATCGACTAAGCTGCGGTTGAGGCCATGGAAAGTCTGAGCTTTTCTTGGCTGAGCTGGACTGCACCTGAGATGAACGCGGTAGAGCTGATCGAACCGTAAGTCTCGACTGAAGATAGTTACAGAATGCAATGCTCGGATGTAGCAAGGTTGGCCATTTCCGGCTAGAGTGGTCTGTGGCTGGTTAGGCACATCCAAGGAGAGAGCTGTGGATCTGAACTCTGAACCAAGGAGGGTTCAAGGTGTAGCTGAAGTTGGGTAGTCGTCAGTAGACCTCTTGTCGGTCCATCAGCCTGCACCTTGTCGTCTCTAAGAGCGGTAGTCCTTCTTACTGTATGGTCTGTTGCCAAGGATGTGGTCAATGTCCGACACGATGTGAGAGGTCATCTTAGGGAGGACCTGGACAAAACAGAGAGTTTTTACACGAGGATAAAGCAGGAAATGAAGGGAGGCGAACAGAACCAAAGGTTATGTTTTGAGTATAGTGCAAAAGATGTGAAGATGAAAAAACGGCCATTTTCATCCATCTGGGTTTTTTTAAGTTCCCACATTTAAAGTCTGCCCACAGTCAAAATACTCACTATAAATAGGACTTAACCATTTGTATTTATACTTTTAAAAAAATGGCAATCAATACATAAATAAGGAAGACGAACTCTAGAATTGTGAGAAAAATATGAACTTTTGACATTGCAGATCTGTAGGAAACGTTTTGGTTTGATGTTTTACTGATCCTCTAAAACTAATCCTGAACATGGTTAACCAGTGATGAGACGTTCACAAACAATCTGATTCTTTTGAACGACTCTTTACCACGAACTATAGGACTCGATTCAGTTAGAGCCATTCTTTGATTTCTACATCTTTTGCTTGCTGCACTGCACACAATGCAGCAACTATTATTCTTTTTAATTTAAAATTATAATTATTTAAAAGACAAATAAATAAAGTAAAACAAATGGCTGGACATATAACATCATGGTGGCAGATGTACAGTGATACGCAGCTCGGTGCATGACACTGACAGTGTGTTGCCTTAATTGTTACATTTAATGATTCAGAAAAAGATTTTTGTTTCTGCCAAAGCAACTCAAGTCCACACACTCTACTGGTTGCTACCTTTTCCTTTTTTATTACAAATAACACTAAAATGTTACTAATGCGCACAACACTTGCAGAAAAGCTACATGGGATAAGGATAAAATGGGTTGTTCTTAGCAAAATGAACTTTTTAAAACATTTATCATTTGAACTGCTCTTTGAAGTGAACGAATCCTTAAGGTTTCCTGGAAAGGGCCACGAATTCCCATCCCTAATTCTAACTACCCACAGTAAAACCAGGGTTTTCAAAATCACAAGTGATGCATGAACGAAATAATTACCAAAAAAATAATTAATTAGTAATTAATTAGAACTGAACACGACATGGCATTATCCCCACATGCAACGACCCAGATGCATGTGAAACGAGGCGGGTGAAGACAGAAAAGTGGGTTTGCGTTTGTGTTTTGTACCTGGATGGCGCCGAGGTTCTCCGTAAGCTGCTCAGGGTTGGATGTTCCCAGAAGGACTGAGCTCACTCCTTCGTTTCTTAAACACCATGCTGGAGAAAATCACAATGAGTACCCCCTCCCCGGTGACTAAGCACTGAATATTATTAACAGGAGAAAGGTCAACATTCAGTCTGTCCTTCAAACGCATGCAGGATTCTCAATGGAGTTTAGTTTTGTTTTTAACTTTAGTGTTCTGTAATCATCCTGTCCAAAACAAGAATGAGTATGACATGTCTGCACTTTAGTGTAACAGGCAGTCAAGAAAAAAAAATAAAAGCACTTTGATGATGACTTTTGAAGGTTAACATTACTGTCAAGATGCAGAGTAAGATGCTCCTTCAGCAGAATGTGCCACTCAGCCTTACCCACAGCCAGCTGAGGCAGCGTGCAGCCCAGCTTCTCTGCAATGTGGTTTAGCTCCTTCAGCTTAGCTTGCTGCTTTCTTCCATCCTCGCTTACTATTTTCTCCTTCAGCCACTGATACGACTGGCAGGAGATGCGAGACAGACGGAATGAGCGATCAGAAGAACAAGAAGACATTTCAAGAGAAGAGAGTGAGAACAAAAGCAAGGCTTAAAAAAAAGGAGGAAAATTTTGCCTTTTCAGTCATAGAGCTGCACGCTTTAGGCATCACACAACAAAGGCTCTATTTAAATTCTTCGACCTGCTCTAGTAAATGTTGTGCAGGTGACCTTTGGGCATACTGACCTTCATTGAGGCCCTTGATGATTCCGGGATGCCGTTCTCATATTTTCCCGTAATGATGCCACACGCTAGCGGTGACCAAGTCATCGCTCCGACTCCTGTGACGACGGAATTCAAAACGGGAGTTAAAACATGGAGCTGGCGTCTCCAGCTGAGCTTCTGCCTCGCAGGGAACCGCTCCCCCGCTCGGGTCCTCTAGACTAGCGGCAGCAGCACATAACAAACAGCTGCTGGAATCTGCTGAGCTCGTTATACAAACTACTGCTCAGCTCAGCGCTCTGCAGTTGTAAACAGCATCATGGAGGAGCGCTGCTGTGATGGCATGATGATGGGGGAAAGAGTGAGAGCTTTTTAAAGAGACGGAGGCCAATTTCAAGATATTAACTGCAAAGTCAGGTTTTTCTTTCAAGTTGTTTTCGCCGTATGCAGCATTTTTATAAGAACTGAAGGCAACACGGTTACTTTGTTATGCTAGAAAATGGGATTATCTGCTCCTTTTAATGAAATCATCATTTTAAAACCATAATTTGTATTAGGCTAGATTATATTTTCCTGGTATTAAAATTTATCTGAGAGGGACGAAAAAGTAAAAAAAAAAAAAAAACATCTTCTTATCCCTTCAACTTTAGAAAAAAATGTAGATATTCATGTTTTAGGCAACATGTCAGAACATTACAGTAGATTTCCTAACCAGGTTGAGTTTGTGTTGAATCAGTACTTTTAGCCTGTCCTGCAAAAACGTCTACTGGACAAATTGGATTAAGGTTGAGGAAATGACTTGTCGGTGCTGGTGTACATGCAGTGAATGAAAAAGTGTCTTTTTTTTTTTTTTTTTTTTTTAATCAGCAGTCTGGTCAGCCTAGCAAAAAGACATTTACAATGCACATTAACATAAAGAATACTTGCCTATTTTGTGATAAAGTTCAGGGAGTTGCACCTCCACTTTCTCTCTCTGAAAGAGGTGATATTCTGCCTGTTCGCACACCGGAGGGATCAAATTAAACTGCCGTGCCACCGAATACGCCTCCTGGTAATTTACGAGAATAGGGAAAAAAAGGAAAATGGAATAGTTATTGTAATAATGTAGTCTAATTATAAAGTGATTTTCATACTATCTCATTCTCGTTCCGATATATATGTGCCTGCAGGAGCAAGGCCAAACTGGTAAAGCACAGCTCGGAGTCAGATAATCAATCTTCTGTACTGATTCCCTGAGACGCCACACTTAAAGCTTTTCATATACCTGGAAGTGTTTAATCATATCTATTCTTTCCTGTGTATTTTAAGAGCAAAATACCGAAGCAAGCACACAAACGCATGTTTTTTCTCCTTGTTTTTTTTTCTATAAAGTGTCACAACACAGCACAGCTGATCCCGATATAAACCCAATTCTAGTTATAACCCTGAAAACCTTGAAAAACGTCAAAATGTGTAGGTTTCAGTGAACTCCCAGTCTTCAGGCATCAGAAAGTTAGACAAGCGACTCCCTCTGCCCAAACGCTCACAATGAAACGGTTGATTATTTAAACCATCGTTTATTTGTTTGTCTCCTGCCCTCATCCAGCCCAACAATTACCAGCTACCCTCATGCGCTGCAGTCTGTGACATGTGGCTCCGGCCTGATCGTGTGGGCCAGAGCGCACATACAGCAAAGAGCTGCCTTGTCACGTACGCTTCAACGCCCCCTTTTAGCCCCCCTCGTTACCGAAGCTGTCTAAATAACAGAGCCGTCACTGGGGCTTGAACTATTCAAGGATATAAACGCCCTTTCAGCGAGATCACAGGGAGAGAAGATGGATGCAGATTGCAGCGTGTCTACAAAGGGCGTGAAGAGGAGGATTTAAGATGGGTGTTTTGTTCACCGCTGTTAGTTTGTGCTCCCAGTCTCAGATCTTCAGGAAAGCACAGGATTGTCTTAGCCCTAATTACAAGCCCATGTAGGCGCATCATGAGTTATGTGACCAGGGGTCACTGGTCGTTTTATTTCATTCAGCATCAAGCACTCTTACCCGGGTGTCTGAATCAAGAGTGACCAAGCTCTGACTTGTCTCTCACCACCTTTGTGTTTTGATTCAAAACTTCATTTTAGTGATCAGCATCAGTGATCGTTCCTCTTTCGGTTCTGTCAAAACTGCTCCTGACCCAGCTGGACCATAAACCTTGATGGCACCAGAACCACAACAGGCCCGGATTTAACATTGCTGCAGTATGTGAGAATATTTCTCTCCAGGTTGATCTTAGGCAGCCAGTTGTGAGCAACAATAACCGAAGGTTCAAATGTTTCTTTTTTGCTGCTGCATATAAACAATCTTCCATTGTTTCTTCAACCTGCAGGTTTCTTGCCCTTCTCCATCCCTGCCTGCTGTAAAATACTTGGATAGAAGCTACTTTTGCTGATCGAGAGGCCTGTTATTCCACTTCCTGCGGTCTTTACGAAGGCTACAATCTCATTAGTGCAACATTTTCTATTACCAAAGAATCCAGAAATGTCTCCATCAATCCAAAGCCAAGGAGATGTTCTAACAGCCAGTAGCTGTGAGGGTGCTTAGGCTACGAGGAAGGTCCTCCAAACTGTGCAGAAAGAGGGCAGCTTGAAATATTTAGGAGGACACGGTAAAAGAGCAGTGGGCCTGAGGATTCACGCCACGATGCCATTCTCACAAATTCAGACCTTAAGTTGTCCACCACTACGTGCCAGGGCTCTACGTCTTTATTTCCTGACATTTGGCTCTGATCCTCAAAGATCTGTTGGCGACCTTTTCCAGGTGAAAAACTGGCTCCTCAATTATTGATGTGACGGAATTAGGATTCCTCCTCTGGAGAAAATTATCTCGTCTGTTTTCCTCACTTTGCTCAGAAGTAAGAAATGTGTTCACGTAGGAGATCTTTGTGTTCAGGTCCAGATTCTTGGTCTGTTTGATTTTGTTTTTTAATGTGGTTGTTTAAATGCGAGTCAATTGCTCTAAAGTAACCTGCATGTGTGGGATAAGGCATAACGTCACATGCAGTTCATGATGTAGTTTAGTGAAGTACATGTCGTTGCTACATGTGTGTATCAGACTAGCAATAATGCTATGATAAAACTTATTTTACAGGAGACTGGATCAAACAACAGAAAGTGACATCTTGGTGTAAATGCCTTGTAAGTAGCCTTGTTCAGCATAGATTATGAATACAAAGCCATGCAGTTTTCACACAGAGCAGCAGTCACATTATGTATGTGCTGTGAACAGTTTGTCTGTTGTTCATTTTTTACTTCCTGCTGTCAAACTCTTCCTGAGCAGAATCGTGGGTCTGACGTGAAAGCAGCGTGATCGTTCAGAACGAGGTCGCCGTGGAAATGTTCTAAATTTTAGGACCACTGACGACAATTTGGCTTTTAGTCTTTTAAAACAAAAAAAAAAAAAAAAAAAAAAAAAATCAAAGTCCAGAGCTCAATAAACACAACAGAAGAGCGATCCAGAGCTTCGTATGTGGCACAAGCAGCCAGTCCAAGAGGCGCATGCTCAGCTGATGTTTGCCTACTGGAGCTCTTAAGTTAACCAAAAAATGTTTTTTAAATCCTTCGTATTGCAGCTGAAATTGTGTAAAACCACTGTAATCCTGATCAAGGACGCTGATTTTATATGAAATAAATAATACTTCTAGCGTCAAAGTACAGGCAGTGTTACATTTTAATAATACTTGGATGTGACTTTATAACAAGTTTAGACTGAAAATTTAGACTTAGCACTCAGGAGGACGGCGTGTACTGCTTTTACTTTCCTAAAATGTTCCACACTGCGTTGAATTACTTCACATGCTTTCCTCTTTTATTTTAGTTACTCCAAGAGAGTGTGCTAAAGACATTTAAGAAAAGCTGAGAGGAACTCACCATGATCTCCATGGCTGTCCACCGGGACGTTCCCCAATACATGGCCATGCCTTGGTTTATCACATAGGTCATCGCTCGAACAATTTCTGCAGAAAAAGCACATTTTAAATAATATCCACTGGGCAGACAGTGAGCAACTCGTTGATTTAATTCACTAAATGAGCAACATCTAAATGTTAAAAAATACGTAAACACTGTCGATCCTTTTCTGGGATTAAAAAGGCATTAAATAATCGCTTCCAATTAGTTTCGGGGAAAAGAAGTATTTTCTACTTCTATGACCGCTACAAGTTTGGTTTGTGTATTTTTCTTCCCCAAGAATACATAAAAGAGAAGAACATATTCTGGGGCTGAAACAATTAATCAAATGAGTTATGATTGATCAATTTCAACTAATCTGTAATTTCAGTATGCATGCTGTGAAACATGCCATTTGCTGAAAGAACACTAAGAGCAGATATTATGCCAAAACTGTACAAAGAATGTATACATTAAGATAAAAAAACATTCTTTGTAAATATATTTTACCCAGAACTGCTCTAGTTTTACCAAGTTAAAATTCTGTAAATGTAAAAAAGTAAAAAATCTCTTAAGCACCTTTGCTATGTAATCATTAATTAGTTGATTGAAAAACTAGTCAAAACCTTTGCTGTATTGATCCCAAGTCAAGCAGAAAGGTTCTGAACTTTTCACATGTTGATTGTTAGAATTAGTTTTTAGCTGCAAATGATCAAGCGTATAGTGGAGGAATGCTTTGTTAATGCATTTTTGGTAATGAGATATTTATTTTTTTTATTTAAAAAAGGAAAATCAACAATTTGCTTGTTTTCATTTCTCTTTGTACTTCTAATATTGCACAAAATAATCCTAAGAGATCAGTAGAAAAATCTGCAGAACGCGCTACTTGTTTTATCAGATTACTCAATCGTAAGAATAATCCACAGAATAATTGATTACTAAATTAATGGTTAGCTGCAGACCTGATATCTTCAGCGAACATTTGGTTAATCAGCGACAGCCGTCAGACACTGCGAGACCGAGCCAAACAGAGAAGAAGAAATGTTTTATTTGTGTAAATGTACACAAATAAAACATTTGTGTACATTTACACAATGTACACAAATGTGTACATTCCAGTCGTTTATTTCCAGAAATAAACGACTGGAAATCGTTTATTTCCAGTCTAGAATAAACGATTGAATATAGAATGACTGAGAAAAGATCAAATCAGTGTGAAAATACCATCCCTGGAGGACAGGAGTTCATATAATTAGTTCTATTTTCATAAAAAAAAAAAAAAAAAAAAAACCCCTACCTGTAAATTGGTTTGTCCCAAACTGTTAAAACTCGGGGATTTTCTAACAAGCTCACATACTCAAAGCCCCTGTAACCACGTTCAATCTGCTGCATTTTTAACGGAGCAATTAAAACTCAAACACTGCTGACCGGGCGAGCCCGGAGCAGTCAGGGCCAACAAAAACTCAAATTAGGACCGTCATTATGGTGATTCATCATCACAATACGCTCACTCCAGTTATAGCGCCATACGTCACTGTGGCGGGACTCTTATTTTTTCCACTTCGCACAAGTAGTTCTCGGCAAGGCAGCAGATAATGTGTAGTGGATGGAGCATAAAAGCAAAGTCCTACAGATCCAGCAGAACTTAAAGAAAAGCTTTTCTTTTTCCTTTTTCATTCAGCAAGAGATAATTAACAGCCTGTCGTTCTGAACTGCCTCCTGGCAAAGGAAATAACATGCTGCAATAAAACAACAAAATGTCAATTTCTTTGTTCCTGCTGTTTGTTTCCAACCCTCATCCTGCCCTCCTGACATTTTGTCTTTGTTTTCCCACCATGCTGGGTTCACATTTAAATGCAACCTGACACAGTTTCCGGACCATGTAGTGGGAGTGAGCACAAAGCGAGTCTGCGGAAAGCAGGACAACATTTCTGATGCTTGAAGGAGGAAGTGACCAGCGGGGATTCGTAGAGGGGGGGGGGGGAACGAGCAGGACAAAAGCAATCAATAAGAAGCCGCTGGGATGAGAAAAGAGAGAAGTCTTTATTGTTTGTTTTTTTTCTTCAGAACCACAGTTCACACCGCCAAACCAGAAAAGGAAACAAGGTTTCCACAATAAGATGCTCAGATCCAAACATCATATCAATTTCCAGCACATTTTCAAATAAACTGAAAACAATTAATTATATTTAAACTACCAAATAAGACTAAATATACTTTATCAGCTACATTTTAGACCTTTTAGAGGAACAAATAAGGAGTTAAGTTAAATTCATCAGCATCAGTAAAAGCCAGTCATTAAAGCTGCAGTCACTCTTGTTCTTATTTAGTGTGTGTTGTATTCTCTAAAAACCTATTTTATGTGGATCTAGCTGTGAAGAAATAAGCACATTTGGTGAAGCATTGAGCTGTGTCTCATATGTGGAGTATATGCGCAGCTTAGAATGTATTTCATGTATTTTGGGATAAAGGGTTAAAATGTACAGGGTGAATTTTTCTGTGATCTCACTGACTGACTTTTTACATTTTCAATAAACAAAGTTACTGTATGTATGCTCTATAAGCTCCTCTCTAATGGTCACATTTGTATTCCCAGAAAAAAAAAAAACAGAATTACAAAAATACAAAAACTCCTTCTAAGCTTTTAATTTGGAGGTTGGGGCTAAAAAAAAACATATCCACTCTACATAAAGACAAGACTTTAATCTATTTTTCCCCAGATAATTTCTCCAATCTGAAACAGGCTGCAGTTTCAGGACTTTAATTACCTTATTAAATTGTTTTGGTAAAGAAAAAAGACAACTTAAGAACAGTTCTTTGTCATTATGTTGCAGCTCCTTCCTTGCAGCTGCGCATCGGTTTGTATCAAGAAGATTGCAATTTGCAAGAGCTAAAATTTTAATAGGATGAGAAGCCAATCATGGTTCGCAGCAGAACAGCTGAGGTTCCACAGTGTTTCTTTGTGAAACAGACATTTTATGATTCCCCTGACAGATGAATATGGATAAGACGACTCACCCTCCATAGGAGTGTTGCTGTCTGGGCGGTTGGCAAAAACCACGTCTACGTACTCCATCTGCATCCTTTGTAGGGAACCTTTCAGACCTGAGAGACAAATAAAAAAATAAATAAAGCTAAATAGAAGATTTCAAAGTATGTTTAGAAGAGATTTTTGTTTTTGAGCTTATAATAAACTCAAGGTAACCAAAAATAAAAGTTTCACCTTCGATAATGTGTTTTCTCGACAATCCTCTTTCTGTCTCGGCTCTGATAAAACAAAACAAACCAAGACAAAAAGCTGAATCAGTCGTCAGATTTAACAGTAAGAAAAAACTAAAATCAAGAAACTTCCAGTGCACTGAGGGTTACAGCAAAAAAAGTAAATAAATAAATAAAATCCATCTGTCAATCATGTGGGTCACTCAGACATGTAGCAACTAAAATGAACATTTCAGGATGTTTTATGTGAAAGGATAAGTGTGAATTAACATCATAGGGGATTTCCAGCTCGGCAGGAGTAGACGGAGGTTTGAATCTTCCCTGCAGGAATGTAAAAAATGTTCTTCAACCTCCTGAGAATAGTTTTCTCCTTATCGCCAGACCCAGACGGCAGGGTCTTCCAAGCAGCCTGATATCCTCCGAGTGTTAGAAAACAGGTTTCTTTTTCATCTCTCTTCAAATTGTTAACAGAGGAAAAGCTACAGATTGCACAAAAAACTAAACTCGTCTCAGAAAATGACAGACATTACTCATTGATTAAAATAATAGGGTGTAATCCCCTTTTTAAATACACCATGTCTGATTCAAACATACAAAAAAAGAAATAGTTGAATTATTAAGTCTGTTGCTTGCCTAATGCAGTACAGTCTTTAATATGATGCAGCCGAGAATCAGCTGAGATTCTCGGGTTGCAAAGACTTTAAGTAAAAATACCAGTCTGAGCGTATTTAAAATTTAATTATAGAAAAAAAATATAGCACTGTATTGCATCATTGAGCTTAATGAAACAGTTATCACAGCTGCTGCAAAAATATAATTCTATTGAATTTTACTGTTATAATAATTTAATCACTTATCAAATTTACATTTTGATACATTTTCATAAGCAAGAAAGCAGAATGAGAAAAAATTATCCTCTCAGTATGTAATATTATAAGCTTTACTCATCATACTTTGTAGAAAGTAACCAACATCAAAGAGTTTGGAACTTGCTGGGTAATTTGTGAGGTTTTCTGTTCAATGGTTCATTTTAAGGCGTTAACATATTAAAAGTTTGACGTCTAAAGACAAATGAAACACAGGCTCTTTGAGAACATCCTCATTTTTTTTGCATCATGTGCATTTATGCTATTTTTAATCGTCTTTGGTGACAAAGACGACTTACTTCGGTAACAAATGCTTGATCACAAAAATTACAAAAAAAAAAGTATTTCACCAATGATTTATGTTAAAAAAAAATTCCAATCAGAATCAATCGGAGACATGTATCTGATGAGAAGTGAATTGTTTTACTTACTTTCCTCCCCAGTAAAGCTTAGTTGTGATCACCAAGCTGGACCGCCTGAAACGATGGAGGGAAAGAAACAGATAACAGGAGCGACATGACCTGGGGACACCAGAGTGGTTCGCTGTGCTCTCTACTTAGACAAAATGGACTCTGCTGCAGCCTCTCCACATTGCGTTAAGTGACTGAGAGGTTCCCTTGTCCAACGTTGTGAACACATCCTGCTGACCATTCATCAACGTGGGATTATTTGCTGTTCAGAACAAGACATCAGGGTCTCTATGGAAGCAGACCTGATCTGTTTGACGGGCGAAGTTGACCTGCTACTGCTCTTAAGAGACCATTTAAAACTATCAGTTTCTCTGAGTTTACTCTTTATAGGTATGTGTTTGACTACAATGAACATTGTTCTTTTAATATATGAACTACTGACAGCATGTCTCTGAAATTCCAAGCAAATAATTAGTATTTATTTGCAGAAAATGAGAAACGGTCAAAATAACAAAAAAAGCTTTCAGACCTCAAATAATGCAAAGGAAATAAGTTCATATTCATTTATAAACAACAATACTGATGTTTTAACTCAGGAAGAGTTTAGAAATCAATACTTGGTGGAAAAAATATGAGGTTTTCAATGGGGTTCAGTGAAGTGGTCTCTTTTTTTTTTCCAAAGCTGTATTTTATTTTATGATTAAATAATATAATTTTTCAAATTAAAGCAATAAATGTAGTTGAGGCACATTACTATTTAAATTATTCCTGTGTTAATTTCCAGCTTTCAAAATTAATCACACATTTAAATGAGTATTTCATAAGTTATTTATTATATTCATTGTAATTTGGCACTATTTACTCTCCATGCAAGCAGCTTTTGCTGCTGTATCTGCCAGAGTTGAATCCCAGGATAAGTCGAAGGTTTAGAGTAAATTTTGGCCTAAAAATTGATTCCATGATTTTTTTTAATTAACTCCATAAAAATATTATTTGTAATACGCTTCTGTGAAATCAGACATCAAATTGCATAATTTTCCATTAAAAGACCAAAAAAAAATTGGGGTGTTAAAAATAAATTTAAATAAACATTATCTTGAGTTTAATTGCATGCAGCATAGAAAATGAATATTTAGTGTTTTCTTTTTCTTCCCTTGTTGGAAAACAGTGAAAACCAGTTTCAATTTTCTATCTGTAAAACATTTTGGGTCAGAAAGTTTGTCCAGTTCATGAACAATGTCTTGTTGGATGTTTTGGACTATGTTGGAGTTTCAGTCGGTTGCTTTAGATTTATATTAAGTGTCTCTTTAGTATGCATGCTGAATCATTTTTATCATGATGTATTTTTTTTATATTGATTAAAATTTTCAAAGACACAGACTTCAGTATCACGGGACAAATGACTGCACATATTATAGCTCTGTGTTGTATTATTGACACAGACATAATGCAAACTGATAACAGCCTTACTCAGCTGCCATTTTTTTTTTCTGCACCACTAAATCTCCTCTCTGCACATTCATGAGGACACTCAGTCTGAAATGTCAGGTTCAGTGAGTCTTAACTGTAGCCGCATCAAAACGCCCACCGGTGTAACGCAGTCAGCCCAGTACATGACACCACAGCGAGCGGCATTATGACGGAGCCAAATCAGAACAAAGTGGCAGCGGCTAAATGTTCCCACGTTTACTGCAGCGTGTGTATGTTACACAGAAACACGCTTGTTTTCAGAATGCAACAATGGAAACGTTGAAACAATGTGGAAAATGTGACTCAGCTTATACATCCATGATTACCTGCTTTTGCATAATTTGAATAAAAATTTAATTATTCTAACTTGTCCCTTACAGAGTTTATCAATAATATTAAAAATAACCAGACATTCTTAAATAAATCCTTAAAATTAATATTTGAAATGGATAGAAAATGAAAATGCCTGCAGGCGAAAGCTCATACATTGAATATTTTATGTTGCAGTTCTGATAAGCGTGTGAATATATGGCAGATTTAAGATCTAGCTTTAAATTACAACACAAAAACATAGCAAGGATCACGTTTGCTGTACTCTGAACATTCATGTTTAACGCATAAAACCTCATGCATGTCGTCTTTCTACATACGTGTCTCTTTACACACTGAACTATTAACTCAATCCGATACATTAATGTCTTCATTACCTCCAGCATTTCTTCTTGATGATGTTTCCTAGAATGATTTCGGCCCTGCAAGGCAACACAAATGAGGCGGGGCTATTAAGCTGCATTTTAAAGTCAGAACTCTTTCTAGTACAACATCAACAATACGATTTCCTGCTGTTAAAGCGGACAGGGCAACAACGTTTACAGTGTTAATGATTTTATGGAAAACCCATGTTACTCCATGTTCAACGCGCTTCAAAATAATTCATCCCCCGTTAACATTTTCGCATCAGTTACTTGTATTTATTTGGAAGTGAATGTGAAAGACCAGTACATAATTGTAAAGTGAAACATTTCCATTCAAATGTTTTAACAGATTCTGAATTGGATTTAGTCCTGGACTCTAAATGGGTCATTGCATTGTGTACAGAGTCGTTGCCCTCCTGGAAAGTGAACTTCTGCCCCAGTTTTAGGCATTTTGCATCCTGTTCCCGATGAAGAAAGAATAGCATGATGCTGCCAACAAAGTGTTTTACTGGCTCCTCTGCAGGACTTCATACTGTAAAACATGACTTCTTACGTTAACATGAATTTTTCCATCCATGTCTAAATGTCCTAAAGTTTGTGTCTGGAATGTGACTGCATGAAAAAATGTTTAAAACATGCTATTAGAAACAAAGTGCGACTTTTGTTCCAGCTCGCCTGAACTGTGCACGCTGCAGTGTGAGCATAGTGGATGAGTATATTATCTCAAGTTATGGTCTTTTTCCATTTTTTGACCAAAAGTAATTTTATCAGTTTAAGCTTCAAAGCTAAACAGTGTCCTTACTTAAGCTATCAAAGTTAAAATGACTGTAAATAAACATTTCACAAGGAACAGAAAGCCACTTGCTAAAGTGTATTATGTATCACGTGAGTTCCCCCCCCCAGAAATCAGAAACTCTCTTATGTGTGCGTCTAAAACCTACAGCCAATTTCAAATTAAAATAAAAAAGATAACCTCCAATCCACAGTCCCACATCAGTAAGTAAAATATTTAACTGGCGTTTACTCGGCTTCATTCAAACTCTGAGGTTCACCCAACACCCACCTGCCGCCTGCGTAAACCTCAGCTGTGTCAAACAAGTTGACTCCGCTCTCATAGGCGATGGTCATTAGCTGCTCTGCAACCTGCCAAGATGTCAGATCGCGCAGAGGAGAGAAATGAGAATATGAAGTCAGTTTATGAACCAGTTTTAATATACTTCCACCTATTAATCTTTTGTTTAATCATTTAGATGTTTCTTAATAAAAAAAATTCTTCCAGAGAGAGAATTAAACATTGATAAAACCTTGAAAACTAGGACAACTAATAAAAGCCTGACACAGTAGATTTTATCTAAACATTGGTGGTGCATTTAAGCTGGGAGGCTTCTGCAGGGCATGAATACTCTTTAAAGTAACTAATTTATGCAACGTAGATCCTCAGCATAAATACAGAGTTTAGTAACAGAGCTTCGCCCTCCCAACAGCAGCTGGAAACGCACGAACGCACTTCAGGAAATAATGACTCCTCAAACAGAAATGCAACATGCTCTTATAATAAGGTTTTGCTGCTTGTTGCCCAACTTGTGAAGTTGCTGCAACTTAAATTTAATTGAGTTGCCAAAAGTGGGGGGAAAAAAATATCGGTCATGGAAAATAAAGAGGTGTCAACGCTATTAACAGGGTAATATAAGAAAACTAAGAACCAATTGTTTTAACAAGTTTTAGAAACAATGAATTCATGTAGTTGTTTTCTGTAGGAATTTTTCAGCTTTGCTATGGATTAATTTTGGTCAACTTTTTTTTTTCCCCCCAACATCAATTCAAATCTACAGATTTAGGAACTTTGCCAGAAGCTCATGTCTGGCTCTCAATCGCATTTGCTCGACATCACAACAGCAATGAAGGATCTACTAGGTGCTAAAGGTGCTTGACATTAACAGGTTGTGTAATTTTGTGTTGAATTGGGAGAAACTCCACTTTAATTTGTTTTGTTGAGCTGCTTTAATTATTCCTGTTTGATTTGTTTTTGGCTAACAGCAGCTAGCTTGCACATTAAAAAACTTAATTTGCAGTGGGGGTTTGAATCAGTAAGTAGTAAGGGTTACAACATTATACAAATCTATGACCAGCTTAATGATCCATAATTTAACTTCTTTTTTTGTTTTTTTTAAGTAACATTAAGTATGACCACTGCTTTCAAAGTCCATCCATATGCAGAAACTGCCTGAGTATCAATGGAAGTGTAGCACTTTCAGGGAAAGTTGAGAAAACCGTACACCGTACTCTGGGTACCAGAGAGCGATCGTTACTACAGGGAAGGAACAGCTCTTCTTTTCACAAAGGTCCAATGTTAGAAGGTAATTTAAAAGTTAGTGAGATGATGGAAGTTAAATGAAGCAAACAAAAAAAAAAAGAAGAGAAGTGCACAAGACGCAAAAAGGTATTAAAGGTGTCAACTTGATAAATGTGAAGACTTAATAAGAAACAAAGGCTGAGACAATGACTAGAATCACTCTCCAAAGGGCAACTTGTCCTTCATGTGACTAAAAGGCCAAACACTTTCGGAAACAGTAAAAAATATATGCCTGGAGAGCCAGAGGGTTTTTACTATAGCGTAGTACATTTACATTTTTGTACAAATTGATGCTCTCAGCTAAATGCATAAGCTGAAAAGCCATGCTTTTCCACTCTCATTGGTAAATAAGTGAGTCATTAAAGTTTCAGAGATATTATGTTGGTAACACCTCAGGCTTCTTGTTTTTCCTGGTCCACAAAGGTTTATGGAAAACAAAAGGTTGACAGACAGAGGGAGAACAATGAAAACCAAAGTTTTTTTCTTCTCTCTCAACCCCAGATTCAAGGCCGCCACAGCTTCCCACATCCTACCCACACAGCAGCGAGAGAGGACTTTATGACGGAGCTGCTTCCTCACCTCCAAACTCCAGGCTGCAGCAGAATCAGAGCTGCAGCACCAAGGCTTTCTAAAACTCACTATGCGATTTATAGATCTGGTTTTGACCTTTTTGAATGAGTAAGCAATGTATACTTGCTTACCCACACACTCTTGAACTTTCTGTCTGGAAACCAGGAATATTAAAATAGAACTATACTTAAAGACACACACACTCACACACACACAAAAAAAGACTTTAAAAACTATGAGTAAAGACTTTTAGGTGAAGTACTTTTTAAATATTAACTGCAAGTTATTTATTTATTTATAAGAGGTTTACACACCCTGCTAATGACATATAGTGTAATTTATGGGACGTGGCATTAATGATATTTAACTATGCAATGTGTGGGACTACCTGACCCGACCGAACGCCATGCAGTTCTTCTTTGGATTCATCAAGTCTTCCACAAACAATCACATCAATTCCTTTTTTAAATTTAGATTTTGTTGCTTTAGGTTGATCAGACGTAACACAGGGGCCACTTCTTCAACGCAATGAGAACTTTTTATTAACTTCCTTCCGAAGCTGAATGTTTTACAGACATTTATAACGGCAGATTAGTGACAGTTTCTCATCCCAATTCGGCAAACTTGGAACCCCAGTGAAGTAATTCTTAAAAAAAAGAGAGAGAGAGAGACTGGTGACATGAAAACGTTTCTGGTCAAGTCGCACAGAGGAAAAAGACCGATAGAGGTTGTCATTGTACTAAGGTTGTCAACAGTTCTGTAAAAACTCCTGTTTTTTGATCTAATATTTTTTTGATCTAGGATGAAGTGCGTTTTCAGCTCTGTCGAAACAGTTGTATTTTACAAAACTGCGATGGAAATACTTTTTTCCTCATGTGAATCTCACTAGTTTGTAGCTACACTGATCTCCTTGGACAAGAGTTCAGATTAACAAAGGTTAAGTGTGTCATTCAAAAAACATTTTGAATCCAGCTCTTCTGCAAAATTGCCAACTAAAGTTTTCCAAAAACGCTGCACGTGCAGCCACTCCTAACAATAAGGGGCTTGTTGCTGCAACGCCTCATTAAGACGCCAACATAAATGATGACCAATAGTGCCGTGGCTCTCATGTAAATATATCTCATCTCATTTCTTAATTATGATTTTAATTGCATTCCTTAATCGAAACACCACAATTGTAAAATTGTTTGCTCACATTTGTAATAGAAACGGAGCAAATGTTTACTTGTGTACAGATCTTCTGTCAGCTGCACTAAAAAGAAAATCTGGATATGCTTTTTTCTGATTTTTATTTTTATTTTTTTCCAGATGTGCACTGTAGTATTAAACCCGATTCGGTGTGCGTTAACAAGCTTTTCCCTCATAACTCTCTGCTGTTAGCGTCGCCTGAAGTCACTGAGAAATATGAGTGACACTGGCGTTGGCACCAGGGACATACAGAATAATGGAGTGAAAAAGGGTGCAGCATTTCAAGGGGTCATCATGTAACTAGACGGCACTCAGCCCTTAGGTAGGAAAAATGACTCGGTTACATAAGCATTTTCTTTCTCTGTCCTCTGGGATCAGCTCTGCTCTCTTTTCTGTCACTATGTGTACGAGGATCTGATGACCAGGGCCAGGAACCTGAACCCGACATCAAATAATATTAATGTAAATCAGCAAAGGGCGTGAAGGGGACCTGTGTTCACATATGTACATATATGATGTGTGTCCTTTGCCTCTAAAAGCAGAGTGGTGTTTTGAAAGTTTCCATGTTATGCAACGACCAAACTTTGACTTTGTACACATGCATTTCTCATTTAAAAATGAATTATCTTGATCTGAATGAATGATGGTCACGTCACCGATTTCTCTATATTCCTATAAGTTTATTTTTGAACTTCTGTCATTGTTCACAAATGTAGGAAGTGGCAATAAGACAGGAAATGTTTCGTCGGACTTAATTTCAGACGAATAAAAGGTTTTCTGAAGATTTTGTGATCGTGTTCAACGTGCGACGGCAGTCGGCTGTATTCTCCTCATGTGCGGTCCAACGAGAATCCTTTTCTTTAAAAGCGGCCAAACTCTTTCAGACCTTGGAAAACAAACTTGAACTTTCAGGCGACTCATCCAAAAGGTAAGCCATGAAATAAAAACCGATCCAAGCATCATCATACCCACAGTAAATGATGGTAGCAGAAGCATTATGCTGTGGGGTTGAACTGTTTATTTTCAAAGGTTGATGGATTTAGATAGGTAGTTTTGATTCCCACTTGTCTGAAACATGAAAAGAGATTTAATTTTTCATTGTCAAATTACTACTAAGTCCAAGGTTGTACTTAAAGTAGCAACAGAAAGGAGTTTGTGAATTTAAAGACGTGTAATACCCGCAGATTTAATGAGACGCTGGGATTTTTATTAGATTCAAGATTATTTCATCACTTTTTTAAATTAATGGCCTAAGTATCTTTTTTCCAAAAGTGATTTTATTTAGTCTAAATCACATTTTGGCCAAAAGAAAGAAAGAAAAAAAGAAAAGCGTATGCCATCAGTTTAGAAACTCGACAATTTGGAAGGTTTTTTTGTTTTGCTGAAATTTTAATTCTTTACTTTATTTATGTCGGATTGAAGGTGGAAACCCCTGAAGAAGAAATGCACACAAACGGAAATAAAACGTAGGAATGTTTTTCATACCTCGTCTGTTATCTGTCCTCCAAATGTCACCCATGTACCTGCAGGAAAGGGAAAAAACAGAGACTTCTCATCACTTGGGAATTTCATCACCGTTTCTCCACCGTCAGTCGTTTTGTCAGTGCTGCTCTGTGTTTGCCTCTGACATCCTGCAGTAAACACAACTAATCCCTGCATTGTCACACCAGCCAATGGAGGCTGTCAGGCTCCCGAGAGAAGAATGTGTCCTGTTCAGCGCCGCCTCTCAGGGCTGAGGGATCACCTTGTGCGAACGCCCGTTAGTCACTCTGTTTTTACGGGTGACTGTTTCTGTTTGCCGCTGTTGCGCATTTTTAGAGGACCTTGTCTCCCCTGTCCTTATGTCCATTTTCTGACTATGTGCCTATCTGTGTGTGAAGAGCGCACATCTGGACAAAAGGTCCCCGAGGGCCTTGCAGACAAAAGGGAAGAGCCAGACAAAAGGGTGATCCTCCACTTTCAGGGGGAGGCAGTAAATCCTCAGTGCGCAGCTCCTTGGTGAATACAAACCTGGGAGAAAATGGTTCCTATTCAGCTCATGTCAAAACAGGTTTGAAAACTGTCTCCAGGGGGAATCACAGAAATACACAAAGTGTTGGAAACTGCAAAAATATTTATGCTGCCTGCAGAGAAAATGTTTAATTTTATAAAGAAACTCATAAAATTGGACAATAATATATAATAGAGAATTGCTTATGGAACATTTATGGGTATTTTTTGGTTGAAAGGGAAATTATTATTTACAGATTTTGGCTTTCAATTATTCTTTTGAACAAATCTTTTACCGACACCTTCCCAGACATTTCAAGAACCTACATTATCAATGAATATTCAAACTCTTTTAAGTTAGTATTATTCTGCAGCTGTGATGATAAATTACTTACGCACCACGTTCTCCAAACATTTATTTTCCTAGTAGAGTCGGATATTGTCTCTGGGGAGAGAGAAATCTGTGTTTCCCTTGTGGACCCGTTACCTCTATAACATGATGTCAAAAAAAAGCCGAAGGTGACGGATGGGCGGACAGAAGGACAGATGATGGGAGATTATGATCATTTCAAAATACTGCCCAGCCCAATTGACCAAAAACAATTAAAAAAGTAAAATAAGCTAGATAAACTATTTCCTTTTTAGTGTCTGAATGGATTATTATGAAGATCATGAACTGTGACAGCATTTATGTTTGTAATCTCCTCCCAGACTCAGTTATTATTTAAGAAATGCTTTAAAATATTCAAGAGTTAAGATCTCTAAGTAACTTAGTGAGACCTAACGGTGTCAGGCACACAACTGGAATCTGTTAAAAATGTGTTTAATAAGCTACATTCAGCTCCTGCAGACAACATTACTGTGGCATTTAGGCTTTTGATCAAACTATAAGTGTCTCGTAAAACTTTCCCCCTTCATTTATTTACATTTTTATTCAGATTTTGTTATTTGGGCTTCAATAGCATTACAATAAATAATAATTTCATAACATTTCTTACAAATAAAAAAATCTGTGTTGCGTCTCAAGTGCATCAATCAGAGAAGCAGCTGCAGGAAACATGACGATGTAGATGCCAGGTCACATGTGGTACAAAGATCTTCTAAAAACCTGAGAAGGAAAATCTGTCCTGAACCGAAAAATATTACAACTGTGCAACTTTAACTACGTCTCATTTGCTTATGAAGCTGACATGTTTTCACTATTGTTGTTGAAGTGTCATTAGATTTAAAAGGTTCCACAAAACAAAACGGAAACAGAAAATAGCTATAATATATATTTAAAAAAAATTCTTCGAAGAATGCAACAATTTAGGTATTCACTGTTTTGGATTATGTCTCAAACAAATCAGCTCCTCCCTTGTTCTGCTTTCAGTCTCATCCTGCTGAATCCAAATGCTGAACTCGTTACACAAAGAGGCCGTTCTTCCTCTGACTTTACTGACCTCCACTTCTAAACTTTTAATACAACTATGGAATAAAAACAAAAATCCCATCTGCACATCCCACTACAGGAGAAGTAATGACATAGCGGCGCTCATTATTCTGTACAGATGGCACCCTAAAGACACACCGGCTCTGTTGCGCCGCAACGCATTACTACAATCTAATAAGGAACAGAAAGTTCTGATTTTTGACATGCATCACCAGCAGAATGGCAATCACAGCTCGCCAGAGGAGTGACGGGCTGAAGCAATGTCAGCGCCTGAAGGAAAAGTCTCTTCAGGACATTGTTAACGCCAGTAACCATGGCAGCTTTGGTTATCCTCAAATGCAGCTTGAAGCAGAGCCGTTACGGCGCGGCCTTACAAATGCTTCAGTGCAGCTTCGTAACACATGTTGCTACCTTGAACCACGTTGCATGCACAAGCTTTTTGCACATATGCGAGAGCTCAGTCGTCTCTCTAATCTGACGCCGGAGCGGGGGAAACGTAACCGCTGCTGACGGAGTCCGGTCGCAGCTCCGGGCTTTCCGTTTGAGACTCAGCGTGGGATGGCGAGCCTGCAGAGCTCTAATGTCAAGGCTGCTACTCCTCATGACCCAGCTCAGCCTTCTGTTTGACGGAAGCTAAAGCCCTGATTACATCAAGCTAAAGATGGAAACTGCTGAAGGTGTCATTTGATGCCGCTTTGGAGCTTTAGTTAAGGCAGTGACCCTTTAGCATCTCTAGCTGAAACTGTGACGAGTTCAACTCGACCGAGCTCTAATTAACTTCGAGTAAACAACTGGGGAAAATGGTAACTGTTATATTTATTGTTTAAAATCATGCCCTATGATAAACACGGCTTCTTATGAACAAATTATTCTACAAAAAGGCGCAATCCTGGCAAAAAGTGTCATCCTTTTAAGATCTTTTGACCCTAATTAATATGAGAAACTGTTGACTTTGCCCTTACATTTCCATCCTGTGACTTTTAGTTGTTTTTTTACGTTGTATAGAGCAAAATGAACATGTTGCATACTGACTATTTTTGTTGTTTTCGAAAGGTAGAAAAAAGGTTGAATGATATAACAGCAGAAATAAAAAAGGAAATCAATAAGGCTTGAAGAGCAGCGCAGACAGGACAAAGTGATGCAACTGAACTGAAAATAAGTGCATAAGTGAGGATACAAAAATGATCTTCAGGCTCAACTCACTGCTGCATGAGGATTTATCTTGCGCTACATTTTTATCCCTTGAGAACAAAAAGAACCTGGTCAAAGCTTTGTTCAAGTCTGGAGGATTTTTATGCACTTTTTCTAAATATATTCTAGTTTTATTTGTGTTTGTTGTCATCATTCGTCACCCGGGTGGCTCAAGTTTCTGCATGTCTGTCTGAGTTTGAGCTACTCGTGGTTCCTGGATGTCCTCAGTAACCTGTGTCTTGTCTACCACCTGTGACTAATCTCTCATCCACATCCACAGACACTTAATCACGTCTACCATTACAAATAGCCTCCATTAATTACCGCCACATCCTCTGCTCAGCACCAGCCTCTATATCAAGTTTCCTGCCCTTCTGGACTTTAGTCTTATCCTCCTGAACTTCCTGCTTCCTTTATCACCTTAAGTTTGTTTAATGAAGATTAAAAAAAAAAAAAAAAAAAACTATTCCTGTGTTGTCCAGTTATTATTGATGGTAAACATAAAGAAGGCTCAAAGGTAATTCAAAGGACCTGCAGCACAGGAAACTGATTTCTGTTTTAGGGGAGTAAAAAGAAACCAAAAACATTGAGTTCTGATACTTTAAAAGCCAAGTTTGTCATGTAGGTTCCCATAATTACCCTTGAAGAATCTGGAAATACTTTTGCCTCTCGATGTCGAACGTTGGTAGAGACATCTCCAAAATACTCATTCCTGTGATTGCAATGAAATAAGCTTTTACATAGTATTGACTTATGCTAGCGGAGTTCAAATGCACTCCCCACTCTGTTCAGATGTTTGACAGAAAGATAGTTTTAAAGCCAAGTGTCATTTTCTTTTCACGTCAGCCGCAGCTACTTTGATCTGCTTTGGTTCTTAAAACAATCGTCAAGAGGTCGGGCCGTTCTCCTAGAAATTTCTGTGACGCGAGTAGGCATGACTAAGCTTTGCTGTTCGCAACCAGGCTGTGTGGAAAAACTGACAGAGAAGAGTTGGGTGTAAACTGAAGCCTCACAAAGGGTTTACTTTGAACACGTATCAATCATCACGCGACATCTCATGTAAATTAGGTCGATAAAGGTTTGAAAAAGTTTTAAAGTTAATCCCTGCCGTTGCTTAATCACAGTTGAATGATTTGTGACATTTATTCATTATTTTGTTAGATTTATGAAAGAAAAAAAATCAGTTTTCAAGTACTTACTGCACAGAATGTACATTTTTGGTGTTCAACTGTTATAAACATAAAAAGCCAAAAATTACTTGTGATCAGTCATGCCGTCTCCTTTCTGCGGTCAGTTGTGGGATGCTAACAGCTGCTTGATTCTCCAAGGTCTGAATAAGGTTTCTTTTTCTTTTTGGTAAAGTATTTCAATAAAATTCTTTTAAACCAAAGAAATGACGGAAACTGTGTGTGGCTTTGAAAATAACCTAACCTTGGCACACGATCACCACCAGATGCATACAGATTCAGGATCTCTATGTTCCCATGATTAAAACCATTTTGTGCATGAAAGATTAAAAATAAATAAATAAATAAATAAAAAATCCAACAAATCATTTAATCATGTTAAATAATTTAAAAGATTTTAGTATGGCAATTCAACAGAATTTGAAGGATTTTCAGCTCTGAATCGCAATCCCAGTGCAGGTAGTGTAAATGCGTTAAGTGCTTTCGACAAAATCAAGGTTGTTACGCATCTTCCTCAGCATGTTGTCATCAGGATCCGATTCCGCTCATCTGAAATCAGGCGACGGCGGCGGTTCTCCAGAGTCCTGCTAACGACCTCATTATTTGACTCAGGTGTGCTGAAGCAGAGACACATCTAAAAGTTGCAGGACACTGGCCCTCCAGTCCTGGATTTGAAAACCCCTGCTGTAGCTGTCCAAAGGCAATTGTGTCCACTCAACCAGAG